CACACACACACACACACACACACACACACACACACACACACGCACGCAGACAGATTACCGTGGCTGTTTTCGGAAAGCTTACCCGTGATAAGGCCCCGCAGCGGCGACCATGGCGACCGGTTCTTTAATTTCCTTGAGCTTGTCGAGCGTCGACTGCACGACTTCGAACTTATGATTCGTTCTCGCGCGGACGAGCTGCAACGGCGGTGCATCTGTTCTTCCTCCGTCGTCGTCTCCTTCTCCCCCTTCGTCTTTGAATCGTCCCCATCCCGATTCCCGCCAATCGAACAGATGAGCCTGCTCCTCGCTCCTGCTGTGCACGCGCTGCGGCCATTCTCCCTGTCCCGAGCCCGACGAGAACCCTCCACCCCCCCACCCCCTTCCATCGTCCTCGACGGCCATCGCCCTCACAAAGGACGTCCCGACGTCACTCCTCGTCGGGATCTGATCAAGCACGACGATAAACAGACAAAAGAGCCAAAAAAGCCAGGAAAAGGAAGAAAAAGACGAGAGAGACGAGAGCCAGGGGAGAGGAGACGAGAGAAATGATGGGGGTGGGCGATAACCCAGTTTCCCGCCAAACCCTTCTCCCGCCATTGCCCAAAACTCGCGTGTGAACCTCATACTACTCCAGCAAGCAGTAACGGGATGTATAGGGATTGAGCAGCGCAGAAGGTCCCGATCCCGTTTAGTAAGGAAGGAGGAAGAGAAGGAGGAAGAGGAGGAAGAGGAGATGAAGGAAGGAGGAGAAGGCCGAGGTAAATTTTGCCGAGGAAGAGAAAGGCAACTACTACTTCACGAGGAGGATGTAGTCAGATCTTCTTACGCTCCTCAATCCATCGGGTGTGCCACGTGTCAAACCGTCGCGCACGCATCAAAATCTTCGGCGTGCCACGTGTCAAATTGGCTGTGACATGCGTCTTCGGCGAGCTATGTGTCAAACCAATCGACGTGCCACGTGTCGAATCACGCGCGGATGATCTCCACCCGAAATTTCCAATCAGAAGCCGCCGATATCTGCGCCACCTCAATCAATAAAGCGCAAAAGGTAATAGGCATCCTCTGATCACGTCGGTTTCACTGAGAGCCAAGCTTGCCCCATTTTCACATTCCGTAGTCGTGAGAAACCGCCAAGTGTCATGTCCACAAAAGAGAGAGGAAAAAAAATAATCCACATCGCGCCGATATCCTTATGAGATCCTCGTCGACAAGCGGCCACGTGGCATGGTGAACGAATCCTCCCCTCTGCGAGCTCAAATCAAAACAAAACTTCAGCTTAGCGCCAACAGGACCAGTAGCAAAGGTAGGCCTGAAACCAGAACCGGGCCAAGATGGAAGACCAGAAACAGAACCAAACCCTGATCCGGAATTGGGCCCAGCGACAAACCTGACCCGGAACCAGTCTCAAGCCCACAAACAGAACTAAGGGCGAGGTCCCACTCGCACGGCGGATTAGATGCAGAAAACCGTAATTGATCTGATTTTCTGCATTCGCGACAAGAACCCATCCAGATTCAGGTTCTTAATCCGAGCCACTTTGCCTGTGGGAAGCAGGCCGAGAACCAGAAAACCATCACTATTGGTAGCACCCAAAAAGCCACAGCAGCAAGCCCAAAACTAGACCGAGGACCGAAGGGGAAAAAAAACATACGCAGAAAAGTAAATCAAAACCAGAAGGTCCAGTTGATGTAGCTCAGTGGTTAGAGCACCTGTTGGAAATGCGCATTGTGGTATAAGGTTGCGGGTTCAAGACCCCAGCAGCCTTGCGCATGGACACCGGCAGGTCGTTAGATTGACGCAAGGCTGGGCTGAAGCATGGTACTATTACAGACACTGCCTGCGCACCACTCAAGGGTAGTCCACGGTGGGGGGGGTCCTTGTCCAGCTGTCTCCCCAGTCTGGCATATCACACGGTCATTCATTAGTTGCTCATACGGTAGAGTCTTGGGTTACATGTTACAAGGTCACGGGTTCACGCTTGGTTCGGTCCTTGGGGGGTGTCCTTGTCCAGCTGGCCCGTTCTCTCCTCGATACACGATTCACAGAGTACACATAGCTTTCGGGCATACACACATAGCTTGCGAATTATATATCGCTTACGTGTTTACATACACAAGTTTCCACACATGATACTGTCTACACAGATTCACAGAATATATACACAAAAAACAGGCTGGGGAGCTAGTCACTGGTGGGGTCTAGTGCCTGCAGCAGGTTCAGGTAGGTTGGATAGGGTGCCATTGGGTGCAGTTCCTACTGACATTCGGATAGAACTGTCTGGTGGCTATATATATATGGGGCCTGTAGCTCATTGTCTGGGTGTGGCGTCCGAAGTTCCCGTTCGACAAGGTTGGTCCGATTCCGCTTCCACCAGGGCTGGGCAATCTATCAGCCCGGGTGCCTATCACTGCTGTCCTGTCCAAGTTGCCTGCCCGTTGGTAGGGCAATGGTCCTGAGTGCTGGTCACACTGAGGTAGAATAGTGGGATAGGGGGTGCACTCCTGGTGCCTATCACTGCTGTTCGGTCCAAGTTGCCTGCCCGTTGGTAGGGCAATGGTCCTGAGTGCTGGTCACACTGAGGTAGAATAGTGGGATAGGGGGTGCGCTAGGAGTATTGACATGAGGATGGGTTGGGAGGTGGTCTCATATTCCAGGACACCCAGGGCTCACAGTTCCAGGTGATCATTGTGCACACACTGAGTGGGCTCTACAACACCCTGGAATTTTTTTTAATCATGCAGAACAACTCCACCAGGCTATTTATACCAATTTGTTCATTGCCCCAGCTGTCATGCTAAACTAGCTAAGCGCCCGCGGTGCGGGCAGTGCGGGCCATGCCCACAGAAATAAGAAATGGTGTAGGCAACCTGACACGAACCACTCGCAAAAAAAGGAATCACAGGGTAATAAGGAAAATAGCTAAAACTGGCTAAGAAGTTTGGGTTTTATGGACGAATAGCTTGGCGGTCCGGGATGGGTGGTGGATGAGTCGGT